GGGGAAGGCAAGGGGTCTGGCTTCTGGCTGGGATGGGGTAAGAGCAGGCAAGGGGTCTGGCTGGGATGGGGCAGGGGCAGAGGGTCTGGCTGGGGGGGGGGTGGGGGTGAGGGCGGTATCTGTCCCAGTCCTGTCTCCTGTTCTGACACCTCATTCATCACAAGCCGTAAGGAAGCCATTAGCGTGGGGGGGGCGGGCGGAGGCTGCAGCTGCACAAGGGTCTGGCCCAGCCTGCCCCCCTCCCCCTCCTGTATACTCTGGGAGCCAGAGAGACGATGGGGAAGAGCTGCTGGAAAGGTCTCTTGGCCCCTGCAGGTAAAGGACATTCCCTCAAATGTTCACAGGCATATATGTGCCATGAATACGTGTACACACGTGTACACACGTGTACACATGCCCCACGTACCCAGGCACACCCGTGACTGTCCCCACCAATGCTCATATACGCCTCTGGCACACTCCCACTGGAGTATGCTGCAGGGACCACCCCCGCCCCACGCACCGATGGTGAACTCGTCGAAGGTGATAGCTGTGGCGTTGTGGCCCAGGGCATTGCTGACACTTATCGAGACTTTGTACTTGATGGTGGAGAACAGGTGCATGTAGCGGATGTGGCAGCGGTTCTTGAGGGCTGGGTCCTTCTCACAGACCATAATTTTGGAGCCGTGCCTGGGGAAGGGTGAGGCCCAGGCACTGTTACCAACATCAAGGGTCAGATGGGGCAGAGGCTGGGAGAAGGTCAAGCCCGAGGCTGGGAGAAGGTCAAGCCCAAGGCTGGGCTAGGGTCTGGACGAGGGCACGGTGGGTGGCTGGAGGAGAGGTCAGAGGTCAGGGCTGGAACCGGGTCACAGGCAAGTCTACTCACAGCACGGTCACATTGAAGGTGTTGGGGATGTAGGTGGGAGTGGGCAGATGCCAGCTGCAGTAGAAGCCCTTGGGGTAAGTGTTGGAGCGGCAGCTGAGCACGGGCTCCCGCGGCGGCACTGGGGGGTGAGGACAGCACGGTCAGGGTGTTCTTGGAGCCCCTAGTCCCCTGCACTAGTGTGGGGACAGGTGGGCCCCAGGACCCCAGCTCTCCCCCTCCAAGCCATCAGCTATGCCAGAGGTAGGGGAGGGGTGGCTGTCAGCGAGGCTCTGAGGCTTCCCAGGCCGCAGAGAGCCAGATGTTTAATTAAAGAAAAACAAGGGCTCTATGAAGAGGGAGCCCCCCCCACCTGCTCAATGGAGGCGGGAACTGCGGGGAACAGGGGGCTGCGGGCCTCAGCTCATCAATCACAGGATGGAGGTGATGTCTGGGGGAATCGGCCCCAGCCCCACATCTCCTGACACGTTGTGTCCATTCACAGAGAAAAACTGTGCAACAGAGGCTGCGGGGGTGGGGGGCAGGGGCTGTCTTGACTGGGTCCTCTGGTTGCTGGAATAATCAGGGTGCACTCCCTGGAGAAGAGTCATCCCAGGCTTCCCCCAGTAGAGACTAAGAAACATGAGGACGAGCCTAGCGGTCCACAGGAACACAGCACTGTATGCACATGCGTATCCGGGTGTAGGTGTCTGCATGCATGGGTATACGTGTCACACGTGTCTCTGCGACACGAATGACCCACGATGGAATGTAGGTACATATACAGGAGTATCTAGCGCATGGCTCAGAACGTGTGTTCACATATGACTGCATGTGTGTGCATGTGCCTGTTGAGAGGAAGCTACTATTCCCTTGCTGTATACGTCACCCAAGCCCTAGCCCCCAGCTCCTCCATCACAGACCCTTTAAGAAGCCCTTTACTTGGTTAGCAGCAGCCTGCAATTCAGAATGCGGAGTCCCAGAGACGGACAGAGACCTGCCTGGGGTCACACAGCAAGCCAGAGCTGGGACAAAACCCCAGGATGGGGATACCACCTACATGACCACATTACACACTTGGGAAGTCCTTTCTGCTATCTAACCACACTTCTTGCTGCTGTGAGCACTTAGCCCAGCTGTCCCACCCTCAGGCACTGGGTAAGGCGTGAGGACAGCCGGCTCAGGTTCCTGGAAGGAGGCAGCTTCTGTGATCTGACCCAGGCAAGGAATGTCCGTCAGTGGCTCCAGGGACACTGACACCTCCCTCCTGTGTCCCCCCCCTCCGCCCCACCCCCTGCCTGACAGGTGGACAGGAAATGGGAGGGGGGCAGTTCAATAAGCCAGGGACTGTGAAAGGGGGAGTACATGTCTATGCTTGTCGAGTGGCCATGGTGACACATGGGGAACTGTGGGCTTTCATCCACAGTGTACACGTGGTTGTGACTGACTCTGATTGCATGTACATGTCCAGTGTGTGGGAAGTATATGTGTATCAGGGCCAAACCCCCAGGGCCCAATCTGGCTTTGCAGCAGGAGAGATGAGAGGGTCAGAGAGGCATCTGGGAAGCTTGGGTGTATGTAGCAGCTAGAGTGGGCTATGCTATGGGCAAAGGTGGCTCTATGCCCCAGGCCTGCAGGGGAGAGCCAGAGCCCAGCTGAGCCCCCACAAGGGGCAACTGCATTCTATCCACTGCTGTCTGCCTCCCCTGGGGAGCCTTCCTGGCCCTGTGTCCATCTTGTGTCTGTTCCATGTTCATACTGTGTGCCTCTCATATCCCTTCCCTATCTGCCCAGGGACACAGAGGCATGGGGGTGGGGTGGGGGATGGCCAAGGACACAGGAAGTGCCTTGTGGGGGCCTGTAGGCCAGGCCAGAGTTGGCAGCCACCCCAGGAGAAAAGGACATTCCGAGGTCGGCTGAGAAGCCTCCACTCCCCCCTCCTGCCACCACCCCTCCCTTAACCCCAGCTTCAAAGGAGAAGGGTGCTGGGGGTGGGGTGGGTACTGAAGTCTGCAGAGTCAGCTCCTTGCTGCCTGGGACTCTTTGGAGGGCAGAGCGGGCCATGGCACTGGACTCACAGGCCCCCTCCACCAGCCAGCCTCCCCACTGACTAGTCCCCTCCATTTCCCCTGACCATCCTCCCCCCTGAGACCAGCCTCCCCCTCAAACCAGTTCCTCTCTCTGACTGGGCAGGTCATGGGGGACCGGGGGGCCAGGCAGGGCTTTGTCTGTCATCTGGCTACTCCTGCCTGGCCTTGGGCCCTGAGTAGGGAAGGGCTTGGGTTTCCTGACAGGGACCAGGTTTCTCAGAGGGAAAAGGAGGAAAGAAAAACAAAGAAAGGAAGAAAAGGAGTGACTTGCTGCAGCTGGAGCCCAGCTGAGGGGCCGGGTGGGCGGAGGTGGGGGTGCTGTGAGAGACCAAGTGTGAGGTTGTGGGACCGTGTGCGATCAGGCCTGTTGTGAGCATGCTGCAAGATGGGGAAGAAGCGGGTTTTAAGACATGGCAATTGTGAGGCTGTCGTTGTGAACTCTGAGAGGCTTCCTGTGTGTGACTGCAACCCTGGGCAGTTGTGTAACCACGCAACTGGCTGTGTGTGACTGCACACTGCATTTGTGTGTGACTCTGGGCAGGCTGTTTGATTTCAAGACTGCCTGTATGGGTATGGCCGAGGGGCGGTGGTACTCTCAGAACATGTGGAAGTCCGCCGTCGCGTCTGAAGCACAGGGACGGCACGACCACACACCTGAAACACCATACAGGAGATGAAGCTTAAGCCTGAACGTATTTTTCAAACTGTGGGTGTGGGAAAGTGCCCAGAATCCCAAGTGTGTCCACACATATGAGCCGAACACCATGTGAGAACATGTTAGAGGCTGTATGTGAGCAAAAACTCATGTGGGTACGTGTCAGTCATTCTCTGGGCATACAGACGTATTCCTGGATGCCCAGGCAGCCCAAGTTGCCCCTTGTGGGGGCTCCCTGGGGGGCAGCCTGTGGCAGGATGACCTCAGGTCCCATGCGGGACCATGTATGCGTGTGCATGTGTGCGTGCGCCCCCGCTGGCCCAGGGTTTGTTTGTTTTCCTCCTAATTGGCTTGTTTTTCCATGTCCAGCCCACCAAACCGCATGTTTTTCCTCTCACCTCGCCAGCCTGCCTGGGCTGGAGCCCCCAGCACGCACGAGGCCTGCCCGCCGGCCCAGAGAGAAGGAGGGGCAGGCTGCCCACACCCCTGGCCAGGCCAGATCGGGTTGGGCGGGGCAGGGTGACCCTTCCAGCTTCAGCCCTGCCCAGGCCCCACCCATACTCCTCCTGTCTGGCATCAAGCCCTTGGCCTGTCCCAACCTTATCTCATGATGTCTCTCAAGGCACCCCAACTTCTGGCTTCCCAGATGCCCCTCTCCTGCCTCCCACCTGTTCTTTTTTCCCCCCAGACATCTTCATCCACAAGCTGCTCTTTCCTTCTCAGCCAAACAGAGCTGAGGGGGAAGCAGTGCTGAACCAGGGGTTCCAGAGTTCCTGTCCTGACCAATCAAATACAGATATGTAAAAACTGGACAAGGAACCGTCCATTTAAAATCAGTAAATCACTCTGATTTGTTTTAGCTTAAAATCAGAAAGACACTGAATCAGCAGCATCTAGTAAACAAAAGGATGCTACTAAAGGTAACCTGGTGATCCTGTTTCCTAATGTGGGCGGTCCTTTCATCATCCTGGGCGCAGGACTCCTCTGAGCTGTTTGTGAGCGGAGGGCAGGAAGGTGGACTGGGAGAAAGCAGTTCAGGGATCAGTCTGGTTAAGGGGACTTTCAACAGCATATTTTTATGATCAGTTTCCCTTGGAAATAGAAACATGAAAATCTTGTATGTTTAAGATAAATATTAAATAATTTTTGGCTTGAATGACTCACAAATCAGGGATATCTTTGTCCTGTCCTCTGAGCGCTGGCTAGAAGAATAATTTGATATTGAGTGTTGCCAAACCCAATCTCTTGTTACTAATATAAAGTGACTGAGACGATCATGATTAATGTCCCCTGTTCTTCTGACCAGCTCTTTAGAAGGAAATAAGGCAACGAGAGATAAGTACCTGTTACTAATGCTATAGCCAATTCATGGCCAGTTCTCCTCTGACAGGCAGGGTCTGGGGAGTGGTCAGCACTATAAAGGGTCTGGGGTCTGGTCACAACGGGGCAGCTGTGGGCATGTCCTGTGGGTACAGACTACAGACATCATTTCTAGACCCAATTTCCCTCCAATGACCTCTGAAAGATCAAGTCATTAGGAATAGGGCCCAGGGTCACCAAGGCCCAGCCATCATGGCCAGCCTTGTCCTTGACTTCAACGACTCAAATTGAGAAGACAGGGGTGTCAAATTGGTCTCATCCTTCTTCCATGGCACTTTTCTGTGTGTAAGGACATGGGGCTAGGTTGAGCGTTCCACGTCAACAAACCTCGTGGTGGGCCAGGGAGAACTCAGGTAAGCTGGTCCTGTATTTCTCAAGCTGGCCGACGGGGGTCATTCCACCCTTGGCTTGCACCTAAGACCCTTGGATATGATTGCCATCTTTTCAGTTTAAACACAGGAAGGCTTTTTTGTGTGAAAAGGAATATCCCCACCAAAACATATTTTCACCCCTCCTCTAACCCCACCGGTGGGTCAGTGTTTTGTGGATGACCATGAGCAACCAACCCTTCAGTCTAACATTTCTCATGGTTGTCCATACCAATCTCCTGACAACAGGGAAAGGGCCTGCTCCCAGGTCGCTCAAGCATCTCCTCCTCTCAGCAGCTCCCAGGGAATAAAGAAACCATCCTCAGAAAGTGGGGTGCATCCCCCAAATGGGATGAGGCCAGAGAAACGTGAATCTTTCGCTCAAGGAGAAAAGAAATGGAACTATTTTCAGAATATTCTGTTGGTGGGTGCCTGTCCAGCTGACCCTCAGCAACACTGATAAGCTCCTCATTGCAACTTCTCCAAACCTGTCTTCTGAATCACATTCCCTTTTCCCTCTACCTTCCTGTTGGCTCCTTCTTATCTCTTTTTGTGGCTCACTTCTCTCCATCAACCCTTTATAAAGTGATGGTCTTCAGGGCCCAGTTTTGGATCCTCTTCTCTTCTCATCCCAGAGTTCTCTCCCTTGGCCATCTCACCCCCTCCGTGGCCTTTCTCATCCCATCCTCAGCCCAGGCCTCTCCTGAGTCCCAGACCCTCAGATCCACTGGCTACAGCCATCAGTTCCCATTGTCCCCTGAGGACCCCAACCCAGCATATCTACAGCAGATGGCAGTGAGGCCCTAACAGATCCCTGGCCCATACCTACTGCCCTCTTCTGTAGTTATATGCCTAAGAGCTTTCATTGGTCACTAAAATCTGCATTGCCTGCTGAGGCATCAGGCCAAAAATGCGGGGGGAATTAAAGCATCCCCACCCCCACCCCGGTAGACTCCTTCAACCAAGGATGGGCAAGACTCAGTATATAAGCTTCTGAACTCCCTCACCGCTCAGGCGGGACAACTCCCAGGTACATGTTCTGCCTGGGCTCTCAGAGTTCTCACAGGGCGAAGCTGCAGTCGCCCAGAAGATAACTGGATAACTCCGTCTTTGTTGGTCCCCTTAACTTCCTTTTTCTAGCACTTTCTCATTTCCTTACAGCGTTTCTGCCACCTGACAAATAAACTACTTGCATATAAACTCTCATCTTGGGATCTGATTCTAGGGAAATCCAAAATAAGATGACTTGCATACTACTGTCCAAACAGAACACACTATCTTTTTTTTTTTTTTTTTTTTTTAAGTAGGCTCCACTTCCAACGGAGCCCAACACAGGGCCTGGACTCAGGACCTTGGAATCAAGACCTGAGTGGAAATCAAAGTCAGACGCTGAACTGACTGAACCACGCAGGTGCCCCCAGAACACACCATCTTCTCCTCCACTGACCCTTCCACCTTGCCTCTGTTGCAGGGATTGGTAGCACTAGCCATCCTGACCCCTCCTGCTCTCTACGCTCCTGTCCTCTCTACCTCCAATCCACCACCAACTCCTGGAGGTCCAACCAGTGAAGGACTCCATGCCCTGGTCCCTCATCCTCATCATCTCCCCTGCATCCAGCAACAGCCTCCTTCCTGCCCTGGCACTGCCGCCATCCAACCTGTCTCTCTTCACTACCATGAGAAGGATCTCTTAAGAACATGATGACCCTGCTCAAGTCACTCCCTAGCTTCTAGGATCATGATTTGCCCCATCGCCTCCTTTAGCTCCCTTCCCCCATTTACACCAGCCCAAGTGGCCCTTTCATACCCTCCCAGCCTCTGAGGCCTATAGTCACACTTAGCTCTCTGCCAGAAGTGACTTTGTCAATGTATCCTCCAAATCTCCCAATCTCCGTGTGCCCCCCACTCCAGGAAGTGTTCTTTCTTCCCTGGAGCCTCCCAGAGTACCCGTTCCTCTACCTGCATAACCAGCCCCTGTGAGAGCACACAATGGAGTGGGGTCGCTCCAGCTTGGAGCTGTGACCCTAGGATTCTTCCCTACCAGGCCCCGGAAGGATCACACCCTGCTAGCCCTCCTCTGCCCATCTTGTCACAGGGAACATGATTTCCGGATCTCACAGACCTCTGCGGGTGAAGTGGGGGTGGGATACATGTGCAAAATGCCCAGGGTCTGGACTCCGTGGCAAACACTGGGCTCAGAGGTCAGAAGAAAAGGCTTGGATAGGATCAGAGGGCAAGGGTCAGGGTGCTGCAGCCCCCCCTCCCCCAAAGGAAGAGGACTTGATCTGAGCCAAGGGTCTAAGCCTCACTGACAATCCTCTTGAGTGAAGTGGGGGGCGGTCAGATGAGGGGTTGGGAGCAACACTTACAGCCCACATGTAGGAGGACTTGGTGGCGCAGGTGCCAAGAGTCACGGTGGAAGCAGGCGTAGAGGCCACTATGGCCCAGTTCCAAGCCATGGAGCACAAGCTGAGAGCCGTTGAGCAGGTCAGGGGCCAGGTCTGTCCCATTTACCCTCCATGTGACTGCTGCATCCCAGTTTGCTGTCCCACATGGCAGAGTCACATCTGAACCTAGGCGCTCGTACTGCACATGGGGTGCTTCTGTGGGGGGCAGGGAGAGCACAGGGCAAAAGTGACAGGTCACAGCCCTGCCCAGCACCACCAGATGAATGTGCATAGATGAGAGCCTCTGAGTGCGAAGTCTAGGCCAAGAGGCTCTGTGTCTGATGGTGTGAGTGTCAGGAGATGAGGAGCTTTTAAAATTTATCTCTGGCTGTGAGTGTCTCAGAATGTGTGTGTGTGTGTGTGTGTGTGTGTGCGCGTGCGCCCATGTCTACGGATTTTGTGTGTGAATGGGTGATCTTCGGTGTGTATGTGTGTGGGAGAAAGTTTGTGTAGAGTGCTGGGAGGGGTTAAATCTCAGTGAAGACCCAGTTCACCTCCAGTCACTAGGTCCTGCAAGAGGTTTTCTTGACCCCCGTGACCCTAACCTCTTGCCACCTAGAGGCCCAGCCCCAACCACTGATATCTGCTACCCAGGCAAGCTGGAGCTGAGGGGCCCTACTTCTGGACTCCTTTCTCTGTCTCTTGTCCCCATCTTTGTCTCCTGTCCTGCCTCTCTCCCTCCCACTCTGACTGCCCTGACAAGCTGCCCCTAACCTGCCCCCCGCTTCCACCATCCAGGGCTCGGGCAGCAGCAGAAGGGAGATCCAGGATGGGAGCCCTAGAGAACTCCTGGCAGCTATCAACTTTGTGAGACAGGAACTGCTGGGATTGGGGGGCGTGCAGGGGAGTGCTGGGGCCGAGAGAGCTCTCTGACCATTCCTCTCCTGCCCCCAGGAGGGGCCTGTCAGAGCCAAAAGCAAACCCCAGCCCTGGCCTCGGCAACCCAGGCGTGATGGACTGAACCCAGGAGACTGGAGTGGAAGGGTGGGAGGGATCACCTGTTGAGAGGCAGCACTAGGTGGGGGAGGTGAAGAGGACACAGATCTCCAGAGGAGGGGCAGGCATGCAGAGCTGGGTGATGCCAATCGAATCCCCTCATTCCTCATCCTGCCCCCCAAGCCTGGAAGGACAGATGCTTCCCTGGCCTTGGCCAGATCTGTGGAGTGAGGGTGGAAGGGGAAGAGTGCAAAGTGGGGGGGG